CCTTTGCCCAGCACACGGAACTCATAGAAATATTTCTCAGTTACAGGCTGCTTCTCAAAAACTTTCCATTGGAGGAATTTATCATAAAACGGGCTGGTCTGGAAGTCCTGGAAGGGCTTGTCTTTAAGGAAGAGCTTGACTTCCTCCTTGGCCAGCTGCATGACATTCTCGTAGTCTTTTGCTGTAGCTGTCTGGCATTTGCTGGCCAAATCAGAGCTCATGAAAGCCAGATAGCTTTTGGAGCCTGCCTTAAGAAAACTGGTGAACATATTCTCCATGGTACTGCTCTTGACATTGTCCTCTGCCAACTCCCAGTTTGACACCTCATCCAGAAAGTCCCTAGCTATCAAATATTCTGGCACTGTCTCTAAGAAGTCTCTGAAGAATCTCTTGCCAATGGGCTGCTGCTCACAGATGCTGTCATAATCGGCAACAATGGACTGTCTAACCTCTCCACATTGATCAATCTTGGGCAGCGAGAGGCTCTTACGTCTCTTTTGCATCTCCTTAGTGTCTCCATCTCCACTCTTCCTTGCCTGCAGATAGGCTGTGTTGGCAATCAGGTTGTCAAGGCCCCCCATGTCACACATCCTGGCAAGCTCTTGGGGTGGCAGAGCGTGGCTGAGACAAAATTAATAACTGTCTAAAGTGCGTGCTGTAGCTGCCCTGCACTTCTCCCCGCTAATTGTGTGTGGAGGCTTCTGAAAAACCACAAGAGAGGCTGCTTTTGCATTAAATACCTCTCAAGGATTTTCACTAAGTACCTTTAGGCATATGCACCATTTGTGGAAAGTGACTGGTAAGAGGTTTCTCTGTAAGGAGCTTTGAGTTTGCTATGTATAGCTGAGGGATGACATCCTAGGCAAACCTTCTCAGTGGCAGCACCAAACGTACTGCTGGTGTTTTACAGAATGGGCCCTGATAACCTTTAAATATACCAAGATTCCCTCTACATGCACTGAGAATATGCAGATTCCTGTCTGCAATACATGCACCCTCCAAACTCATCGACACTCTGGCCACAGTTAACAGGATAGCCTCTCCCTCACTTGGTACAGAGAACACCAATGCACTAAGAATTACATAAATTGGGATCTGGTTTTAAAAAAACCTTTATGACAAATCTGCCATGCCTGAAATGGAAGTTGACATAGACAAACATGAGCCACTGCGCTTTAAATTATCACACACTTCAGTGCTTTGAGCATCCACACTTCCAAAAATCAAGTTATACTCAACATCAATGAACTCTGAGCTCCACAGACACTCTGCGCAAACCCTGATGCTTCATGTGCCTCTGTCTGAGCACGTTACATGCAGACGCTAAGAGCTGCTGCTGGTCAAAAAATAATGGTCCCTATATACATAACAATATATAGTTCTGACTTAATCTCCTACCATAGAAAAAAAACCAAAACACTTCAACTGACAAGTCAAATCTTGCCAACACTTCTGTATGCTATTGTAGCCTCAGTTTCTTTTTCCTGC